TGACATCAACAATTATGGCGGTAGTGGGTTTTATAATTATGGACTTAATTCAGTTGAGAAAGGCTATTTTTCTTTCTAGTTTGTTTCAAGTTTTGAACACGAATGAATGTTGAAATTTTTCAAATGCCTTTTCTGCTTGAATTGAGATATTCTGGAGGTTTTTCCTTCATCTTACTAACGTGTCATAATGACTGACTGAAGTTTGTGTGCTGGATAACCCTTAGATCACAGGAATGAATCCTATTAGGTCATGATTTATATTCTGTATTATACAACTGAATTTGGCTTGCTAGTATTTAGTAGGGAATATATGCATTAATAGTGACTAGGATACTTATCTGTATTTTTTCTTTGATCATGTCTTTGCCTGACTTTTGTGGTTGGTAATGTTGGCTTCATAGGATGCCTTAGGAATTGTTTCTTCCTTTGCAATTTTTGGGGAGAGTTTGAAAAGAATTGATATTAACTTTCCTCTGAATTTTTGGTAGGATTCACTAGTGAAGACTCTGGTTATGGTTTTACTTTTATTGGTTTGAGGGTTGGGGGTTGTGCTTTGTTTAAATATCCTTGCCAGATAGAGGTCTTTGCAGGTTTTCTATTTCTTCATTTTCAGTCTTCAATATTGTATATTTCTAGAAATTTGATTATTTGTTCTGGATTATTTAATTGTTTTCATATAATTGTTTATGATGCTCTTTTTTCTATGTACACATCGATCTACTACTTGTTCTAACAATTGCTATAAATTGAATGTTGATATTTCTAGCTAGTGTTGTAGTGATCCCTTTTTCTTCTTGCAGTTCTCTCAAGACTTCATAAATTTTGGAGCTATGGTATTTGGTGCATGTGTGTTTTTACTTAGCTACACGTATCTCAATGGATTAACAAATTTCTCAACATGTAAGGCTTCTATTTATTGTAACAGTTTTTAAAATAAATTATATTTACTTTGACATTAGTACACCTAACACAGTTCTCTTTTGATTAATAGTTGCATGAACTATCTTTCCATTTCAGGTACAAACCATTGTGGCCTTAGATCTTAAGTGAATCTCTTTAACACCAAGTAGTAGATTCTTTACTTAGAGGATCCAAAGAACTCTACTAAGAGACTATTGGAACTCATAGAGGAGTTTGGCAAAGTGGCAGGATATAAAATCAATGCACAAAAATCAACAGCTTTTGTATACACAAGCAATGCCACGGCTGAGAAAGAACTGATAAGATCGATCCCATTCACAATAGCTATAAAAATAATCAAATACCTTGGAATAAATTTAACCAAGGACGTTAAAGAACTCTATGATAAGAATTACAAAATCTTAAAGAAAGAAATAGAAGAGGACACCAAAATATGGAAAAATCTTCCATGCTCATGGTTTGGAAGAATCAACATCATCAAAATGTCCATTCTCCCAATAGCAATTTATAGATTCAATGCAATCCCAATCAAGATACCAAAGACATTCTTCTCAGATCTAGAAAAAAATGATGCTGAAATTCATATGGAGGCACAAGAGACCTCGAATAGCTAAAGCAATGTTGTACAACAAAAACAAAGCTGGAGGCATCACAATACCAGATTTCAGGACATACTACAGGGCAGTTGTAATCAAAACAGCATGGTACTGGTATAGAAACAGATGGATAGACCAATGGAACAGAATTGAAACACCAGAAATCAACCCAAACACCTACAGCCAACTTATATTTGATCAAGGATCTAAAACCAATTCCTGGAGCAAGGACAGTCTATACAGTAAATGGTGCTGGGAAAACTGGATTTCCACGTGCAGAAGCATGAAGCAAGACCCCTACCTTACACCTTACACAAAAATCCACTCAACATGGATTAAAGACCTAAATCTACGACCTGACACCATCAAGTTACTAGAGAACATTGGAGAAACCCTTCAAGATATTGGCACAGGCAAAGAATTTCTGGAAAAGACCCGGAAGGCACAGGCAGTCAAAGCCAAAATCAACTATTGGGATTGCATCAAATTGAGAAGTTTCTGTACTGCAAATGAAACAGTCAGGAGAGTGAAGAGACAACTGACAGAATGGGAAAAAATATTTGCAAACTGTGCAACAGATAAAGGGTTGATAACCAGAACCTACAAAGAGATCAAGAAACTCCACAAAAACAAAACCAACAACCCACTTAAGAGATGGGCCAAGGACCTCAATAGACATTTTTCAAAAGAGGAAATCCAAATGGCCAACAGGCACATGAAAATGTTCAAGGTCACTAGCAATCAGGGAAATGCAAATCAAAACCACAATGAGGTTTCACCTCACCCCGGTTAGAATGGCTCACATTCAGAAATCTACCAACAACAGATGCTGGCGAGGATGTGGGGAAAAAGGGACACTAACCCACTGTTGGTGGGAATGCAAACTGGTCAAGCCACTATGGAAGTCAGTCTGGAGATTCCTCAGAAACCTGAAGATAACCCTACCGTTCGACCCAGCCATCCCACTCCTTGGAATTTACCCAAAGGAATTTCAATTGGCAAACAAAAAAGCGGTCTGCACCCTAATGTTTATTGCAGCTCAATTCACAATAGCTAAGACCTGGAACCAACCTAAATGCCCATCAACGGTAGTCTGGATAAAGAATTTCTGGGATATGTACTCTTTAGAAAACTATACAGCAGTCAAAAACAAAGAAATCCAATCATTTGCAATGAAATGGAGGAATCTGGAACACATCATGCTGAGTGAAATAAGCCAGTCCCAAAGGGACAAATACCATATGTTCTCCCTGATCGGTGACAACTGACTGAACACCAAAAAGGAAACCTGTTGAAGTGAAATGGACACTGTGAGAAACGGTGACTTGATCAGCATAGCCTTGACTGTTAATGAACAATTTAATACGTTATCCCTCTTAGTATTTTTTTTCTGTTCTACTTAATATGACTGGTTTAATTCTGTAATTAATACACAGTTATTCTTAAGTGTTGAAATTTAACTGAAATGTGATCCCTGTTAAATATAAGAGTGGGAATAAGAGTGGTAAGAAATGTACAATTTGGGACATGCTCAAGCTGACTTGCCCCAAATGGTGGAGTTAGAAACATACCAGGGGACTCCAATTTAATCCCATCAAGGTGGCATGTACCAATGCCATCTCACCAGTCCAAGTGATAAATTTCTGTTCACAATTGATCATAAGGAAAGACTAAGAGTCAAAGGGATCACATAAACAAGTCTAGTGCCTGCTAATACTAACTGATAGAATAAATAAAGGGGAAAGTGATCCACCATGGGAAACAAGATACACAGCAGACTCATAGAATGGCGGATGTCCTAAACAGCACTCTGGCCTCAAAATCAGCCCTAAAGGCATTCGGATCCAGCTGAAAAGCCCATGAGAGTATTTCAGGCATGGAAAGCCAAGACACTCTGGCAAAAAAAAAAAAATGACCTCAATGAAAGATCTCTGTGTGTGAGATCCCAGTGGAAAGAACAGGTCTTCAAAGAAGGAGGTACCTTTCTCTGAAGGGAGGAGAGGACTTCCACTTTGACTATGACCTTGTCTAAATAAGATCAGAGTCGATGAACACAAAAGGCTTCCATAGCCTTGGCAACTCATGACTGGAGCATAGGGAGATTACTGATGCCATAAACAGGAGTGTCAATTTGTAAAGTCAACAACAGAAGTCACTGTGCATTTACTCCTCATGTAGGATCTCTGTCCTTAATGTGCTGTACATTGAGATTTAATGCTATAACGAGTACTCAAACAGTATTTTTCACTTTGTGTTTCTATGTGGGTGCAAACTGTTGAAATCTTTACTTAATGTATACTAAACTGATCTTCTGTATATATATATATAGAAAATTGAAAATGAATCTTGATATGAATGGAAGGGGAGAGAGAGTGGGAAAGGGGTGGGTTGCGGGTGGGAGGGAAGTCATTGGGGAGGGGAGCCATTGTAATCCATAACCTGTACTTTGGAAATCTATATTTATTAAATAAAAGTTAAAAAAAAAAGAAAACATAAAAAGTAAAGAAAAAGAAATTTGCATACCTTAAATAAAATTTTTCAAAAAGAAGTTTCAAAAAATAAAAGAAAGAAAAAGAGAATATCTGCTTCCCCAGTTTCTGCACCTCTCATGCTTGAGCCTCTCAAAGGCACCCCTGGGTTCTTGGTTGTTCTTGTAGTATTGCCTTACCTTCCAGGGTCTATGCAGTGAGTTTTATTTTTCCTTGAAGCACTGGTTAAAAACTGACTGGAAAATGCCTACTAGCGGTTAATTCCCTACAGGCCAACAATTATGCCTGCTTCTATTTCAGAAAGGTCAATGGAATGGCTTGAAACTCCCACCAATGGTTTTCAAACTTCCAGGAAAATCAGTTTGGGGAATAAGGCAGTCAAAGGAAAGAAATCATGTTAAGTTAGAATCTTTAAAGAAGAAGTCAACATTAACTGTTTTATGAAAGTGACAAAAATTTACTGCACATGCATCCTCTACTGTGGATTTAACTCTAGCTTCTTGTGAGTTGTTTAGCTACTTGTATTATAGTCGCCTCCTGTTTTAAAATAAAAAAAAAATTCACTTAAGTAAGACTTGGTTAGACGCCAGACTAAAGAGATAAAACAGTGAAAAATATGTACATTTTAAACTACATGAGAACTAAGGGAAACACACAATAAATCATAAATATTGTAGGCAGAATAATAACCAATTCAACTACCTTATTTAAGGAATTGAAGAAAAATAGTTGCTGGTTGACAGGACTACACATTAAATTTCAGAATTCACGCTGAAACACAAACCTCAGAATTCTGCACCTTTGCAATTAAATCTAGGCATGTAGGATTCCATGCTCTACAGCAAAAGAAAATACTTACAAATGGGCAATAAGAAGAAACACACAGGAGATGACAGGGATGCCAAGATACCACAAAGGTATCCTGAGTGCCTACAAAGAGGACACACGTGATGGATACTGTAGGAGCCCCAGTGCCCACAGCCCCACTCATCACCTGCAAATTCTCTTTCATTCGCTCCTCATTGAAACTCTTGGCCAAGACCACAACCCCACGCTGTAGCAAGTAACGAAGGGCAATCAGTGCTGGACTTCGCTTGTGCTTTTTTGCCAGGGCACCAAGAACTGGATCATCTAAGGGAACAGGAGTGTTCTGATCCACCCTAGGAGGAAAGGCAACAATGCTGAATTTCTGAGTTCGTGTATTTGGTTTGTTAGGAGGATTCCAAAACAGACTACAGTGCCTACTCCAGACCAGTGCTACTCAAATGTGGTCTCAGGCAGCAGAACCACTGTCATCTGTGATTTAATGAATGAAAAACTACTTATCCATCCAAAACAATGAAATCCTTCTTTTGCAACCAAATGGATGCAACTGAAAACCATTATACGTAATGAAATAAGCCAGTCACAAAAAGACAAATATCATGCATTTTCCCTGTTCTGTGGTAACTAACAGAGTATGAAAAACATGTAATATGTATGCACAAAATTGGTATTTTGAGATCTATTGATTGTTTACAGCCCTTGTCCCTACTGTTGAGGGGCAGAGTTATTTTATGCTTACTATTTATTGAATTATTTACTTATTTAATAAATTTAGTCTTATGAGTATAAAATAAGCCAAAAGTAGATCATCATAAAAGTTAAAAGAAAGAATAAAAAAGGAAGGAGAAGATAGGGTGGCAGTGTGGTCGGGAGGGAGGGTAGGATGAGATGTATCACTATGCTCCTAAATCTGTATATGTAGAATACATGAAATTTGCACACATTAATACTGAATAAATTATTTTTTAAAAAAGAAATGCAAATTCTTCCTTGTACTGCAGCACTTCAGAGTTAATGCCAGAAAAGTGGTTATACCATGAATGCAAATGTTTCAACAGCAAAGGTGTTTTAGGTAAATTTGCTAGTGTCCTCATTACCATTCTCCATATTTGACTTCCCAGAACACCATAGGCAACCAGAACAATGTCTTTTGACTTGCGGAAATCCAGTAGTTTTCTCTGGTTGAGATACAGATGACATTCCACCTATAGACAGACAACACAGAGAGTTTAAGATTACTGGAAGTACAAATATTGATGTGAAGGAGAAATATTCGAATTGAAAAGAAACAGAAAATAAAACCTGAGTAACAAAATTTAAATTGAAATTAACAACTTCCAGAGATGATATTTTTAAAAGAATATTAAAATTACTATCACCTGCAAGGATAAAAAATAAAATCCTGACATGAACCAACTCTGTGAACCAGATTATAGATGTTTAACATTTTTTTCACTAAGAGGAACCATGAAATTTTCCTTTTTTGGAAAAAAAGAAGGAATTCTTTGAACATTTGACATTGAATTGTGCCAGAAGGCAAGTATTTGTTCAAGGATTCATGACAGCAAGCCTGTTGAACAAAATAGTTTGCTAGGCGTCCTGCTACTGATATTCATGTAGATTTCCTCATCATAATAAATAATGAGTAAAGTCAAGTTTAATCCACAGAATAAATACAAACTCACATCCACAATAACAAGCATAGTGAGAGAAAGCCAGAGGAAAAACTATTTTCCCCTGCTGGTGGTGATTATTACATTAACTTCTTTCTAGGAACATGGTTAACTAAAGGGAAGGTGTTAATGCCTACTCCATCACAGAGGAACAATTTCAGAATTATCATGGAAATAGTTTTACATTCAATGCAATACAAGAAAAGTAAAAAGAGCAGTTAAAAATGAAATTTAGTGTTTACAAATTCTTGGATCCCCTAAATAAAGAATCATATCATCTGCAAAGAGGGATAGTTTGAGTTCTTCCTTTCCAATTTGTATCCCTTTAATTTCTTTTTCTCGCCTAATAGCTCTGGCTAGAACTTCCAGAACTATATTGAATAGCAGTGGTGAGAGTGGGCATCCCTGTCTGGTACCAGATCTCAGTGGAAATGCTTCCAACATTTCCCCATTCAATAGGATGTTGGCCGTGGGTTTTTCATAAATTGCTTTAATTGTATTGAGGAATGTTCCTTCCAAACCCAGTTTGCTTAGAGTTTTTATCATGAAAGGGTGTTGCATTCTATCAAATGCTTTCTCTGCATCTATTGAGATAATCATATGGTTTTTCTTCTGCAGTCTCTTAATGTGGTGTTTCACATTGATTGTTTTGCGCACATTGAGCCATCCCTGCATACCAGGGATAAATACCACTTGGTCTGGGGGGATGATCTTTCTGATGTGTTGTTGCATTCTATTGGCCAGAATTTTATTGAGGATTTTTGCATCCATGTTCATCAGGGATATTGGTCTGTAATTCTCTTTCAATGCTGCATCTTTTTCTGGCTTAGGAATTAAGGTGATGCTGGCTTCATAGAAAGAATTTGGGAGGATTCCCTCTTTTTCGATTGTTCTGAATAGTTTGAGAAGAATTGGAGTTAGTTCTTCTTTAAATGTCTGGTAGAATTCAGCAGTGAATCCATCTGGTCCTGGGCTTTTCTTTGTTGGGAGGGCCTTTATTACTGTTTCAATTTCTGTCTCAGTTATAGTCTGTTTAGGTTTTCTATGTCTTCCTGGTTCAATTTAGGTAGGTTTCATGTGTCCAGGAATCTATCCATTTCTGATAGGTTTCCCTGTTTGCTGGCATACAAGTCCTTGTAGTAATTTCTGATGATTCTTTTTATTTCTGTGGTGTCTGCTGTTACGTTTCCTTTTTCATCTCTGATTTTATTGATTTGGGTCTTTTCTCTTTTTTTTTAGTTAGTTGGGCTAATGGGATATCAATTTTGTTTATTTTTTCAAAAAACCAGCTCCTCGTTTGGGTGATTTTTTGTAATTTTTTTTGATTCAATCCTGTTGATTTCTTCTCTGATTTTAATGATTTCTCTTTTCCTACTAGATTTGGTCTGGTTTGCTGCATATTTTCTAGATCCTTGAGATGCATTGAAAGCTCATCTATTTGGTGCCTTTCCAATTTCTTGATGTAGGCACCTATTGATATAAACTTCCCTCTTAACACTGTTTTTGCTGTATCCCATAGTTTTGGTATGTTGTGCTGTTATCCTCATTTACTTCCAGAAAATTTTTGATTTCTCTTTTGATTTCTTCTATGACCCATTGTTCATTCAGGAGCATGTTGTTCAATCTCCATGTGTTTGCATATGCTCTAGGGATTCCTGAGTTGGCAATTTCCAGCTTAATTATTCTATGGTCTGAGAAGCTGCATGGTATGATTCTAATTCTTTTGAATTTGCTGAGACTTGCTATGGCCCAGTATGTGGTCAATCCTAGAGAAGGTTCCATGTACTGCTGAGAAGAATGTAAATGCTTTCTGTGTAGGATGAAAAGTTCTGTAAATATCTGTTATATCCATTTGGGCTACAGTGTCATTTAATTCTACTGTATCCTTGTTGATCTTCTGTCCTGTTGATCTATTTCTGAGAGTGAAGTATTGAAGACCCTCAGTACTGTTTTATCAGAGTCTAAGTCTCCCTTTAAGTCCCTTAACAAATCTTTTAAATAAACCGGTGCCCTGTAATTAGGTGCATATACATTGATATTCATTATATCTTCCAGTTGAATTGATCCCTTAATTATTTTATACTGCCCCTCTTTGTCTCTCCTAACAGTTTTTGTAGTAAATTTTATGTTGTCGATATTAAGATAGCTACGCCCACTCTCTTTTCATTTCTGTTGGCATGGTATGTGTTTTTCCAGCCTTTCACTTTCAGTCTGTATGCATCTTTGTTGGAAAGATGTGTTTCTTGTAAGCAGCAAATAGATGGGCTTTGTTCCTTAACCCAATCAGCCAATCTGTGTTTTTTAACTGGACAGTTCAGGCCATTAATGTTCAATGTGACTATTGATAAGTAGTAACTTTGCCCTGCCATTTTCCCAAAGATATTTTCTGATATATGCTTTGAATTTCTAGTGATCTTTTGCTGTGAGTTTTCCTTCCTTTTCCTTCTTACATATTGATGACCATGTTTCTGTGTTTCTGTGTGTAACACATCTTTAAGCATCTTTTGCAGGGCCGGACGAGAGGCAACAAATTCTTTCCATTTCTGTTTGCTATGAAAGGTCTTTATTTCACCTACATTCATAAATGTGAGCTTTGCAGGATATAATATTCTGGGCTGGTAGTTTTTCTCTCTTAGTACCTGGGCTATGTCTCGCCATTCCCTTTAGCCTGTAGGGTTTCTGATGAGAAGTCTGCTGTGAGTCTGATTGGAGATCCTCTGAGAATAATTTGACGTTTCTCTCTTGCACATTTTGTAATCTTTTCTTTACGTTTCACTGCGGTGAATTTGATTACAATGTGTCGTGGTGAGGATCTCTGTTGGTCATGTTTACTAGGGGTTCAATGAGCTTCCTGTACTAGGATATCTCTGTCCTTCTCCATACCCGGGAAGTTCTCTGCAAGTATCTCACTAAAAAGGCCTTCTAATCCTTTCTCCCTCTCCATGCCTTCAGGGACTCCTAGAACGTGAATGTTGGATTTTTTTAATAGTATCTGTAGATTCCCTACAATATTTTTTAGATTTCTAATTTCCTATTCTTTTCTTTGGTTTGACTGTGTACTTTCCTGTTCTCTGTCCTCTAAGTCCGATATTCTGTCTTCTCTTTCACTGACTATTTTTAAGGCTCTCTAATGTGTTTGTTATTTGATCTATTGAGTTCTTCATTTCATTTTGATTTCTCTTCACTATCACACTTTACTATTCTACTAGTTTCTGCATTTCATTTGATTCCTCCTTAGGATTTCATTTTCTCAAAGGAGATTTTCTATCCTGTCCAGTAAGGATTTCCATAGCTCAAGCATTTGTTTTTGAAAACTTCTAATTGTTCTTATCATAAATTTTTTGAAATCCCTATCTTGCATTTCTTCCATCTCATCATCTTCGTAATCTTGGTTTGGGGTATCTTGTTCATTTCGGGGTGTCATAATTTCTTCATTGTTCTTGTTACCTTGGTTTCTGCATTTGTTGCTTGGCATTGTGGAGATATTCTTTAGATTCTTCTTCCCTTGCTGTGGTGTTTTTTCTTGTTGTACTATGACTGTATTAAGTGTACTGTCTGCTTTTGATGGAGCCTTAGAGGCTTTGGATGGGTGTGGACTGAGAGCTCTGTTTGGTTCCTCAGGGTTAAGGGTGTGCCAAAGGTCACACTCCCAAGTGAGCCATGGTAAATCTCTCTCTCTTTATTTTTATTTATTTATTTATTTATTTAGATTCAGAAGGGAAGTAATTCTGCACAGCTGATTGGAATTGAAGGTAATTAGCAGGCGAATGATATACTCACAGGAGCCAGAGATTGGAATCTCTTTCCGAAGGACCACACAGGGAATCTGTACTGCCCTCAGTGTGGGCTCAAATTCTCCTGCAGTCTCCCACTGGGTTGCCAAGTTTACCGAATTGTAGCGTCTCTGGAGAGTACTCAAGTGAATTCTGTGAGTTCTCTCACCCTGTCTCTTTTTTTCACAGTCTCAGTTCAGTAGCACCACACATTCACTAGGTCCTAATCTCCTGTTATTTCACCCCCCACCCCCAGAGTCAGGTTTTTCTGCTTGGCTGAGGGCGGGTTCAGCCCTGAGGTTGTGCCGCTGTTGACATATGTCCAACATGGTGTCTGCTCTTTGACTTGCTCGCCTTTGAGATGTGAGCGGAGAGAGAAAAACTCGTGTCTGTACCAGTCACTTTTTTTTTCCTCTCTCTTCTAGTTAGTCTGGTGAACTTTCCCCATGGGGTTTCAAGCCTCTTCCCTCTAGTCTCCTCTTTCCGCTTTCCTGTCGGTGTCTTGGGCTATTGAGGTTCAGCTCACCTCATGTTCCAGTACGGTTGTATTGATTCTGCTGCTGGTGTCCCTACCGATGGGCTCCCACACCCTCCATGCAGGTCCACCATGAATCACTAGTTCCGGAAGTTTCCTCTGCTGTTGATTCCCCTATTCTTCCTTGAACCTGCAGTATCTACACTTTTATTAAACTGTCTCTTCCCAGACTATCAGTGTGCTCCCTTCCTATTCCGCCATCTTGCCCCATATCAGAATGCTTAGGTTTGTTTCCTAAAAGCTGCAACTTTTAATTCTCATTTACTGCCAGTGCAGCTGTTGAGAAGTGGCAGGTAGTTGGATCCCTGCCACATGCATGGGAGATTTTGGTTGACTTTCCAGCTCCTTGCTTTGGCCCAGTCTGGTACTGGACATTGTGGGTAAATGAAGAATCAAGCAGTAGAGGAAGCAATGGGAAAACACCAGAAAATTTAAATGTGACTGTATTTTAAATGATATCAGAAGACAATCATCACATTCCTAAATCTAACATGGAAAAGTAAACATTGGGGGATAATCTGTATATTCTTAGATGTTTTGGAGGTCTGTAGGGATGAGTAGTCATCTCTCCCAATTATTTTGAATAAGTTCAGTAAATTATTGTGCATATTTGTAAAATCTGCATGTATTTACACACATTTGACAACCTGGCAAAATGGCAACAATTTTATATATAAACAGGAAAATATGAATTTTCTCAAAATTGCTTCAAAACTTCTGATTGTTTGAAAGCTTTCATAATAAAAGTGTAGTGATAATAATATGAAAAAACATTTAATATTATATGTACATTTTTGAGATTTTTGTATTTATTTGAAAAACAGAAATACAGAGAGAGGAGAGAGAGAAAGAGAGAGAGCAGGGGGAAGAGATATCTTCCATCTGCTTGTTCACTCCCCAAATGGCTGAAACAGCCAGGGATAAGCCAGGTTAAAGCCAGGATTCAGGAGCTTCATCCTGATGTCTCACATGGGTGCAAGGGCCCAATTACTTGTGCCATCTTCTACTGCTTTCCCAGATGCATTAACAGGGAGCTAGGTCAGAAGTGGAGCAGCTGGGACTCAAATTGCAGGTCATATGGGATGCCAGTACTGAAGGTGGAGGCCTAATCTTCTAAGCCACAACACCGGCTCCTTAATAATATATAATTTTAAATCATCATCACTAATTAAAAAATTTGTAAATTTTATAAGCTATATTTTTCTAGTTTAGAATCCTTACAACAGAGCTACCAGATCTTAAAAAGTAAGTTAGAGCACAGAATCAGAAACAAAATAGATGAGCTGGAAGAGATACTTGATGGCAAAAGCAATGGAGGAGATTCAGATTTAGATAGAGTCAGGCATAGGATTGGCTCTGGTTCTACTAAAAGTATCTGAGTATTCATGTACCACTGGTACCACCATAAACAGATTCACATTCTACCTCAAACCTGTATGATTTTTTCAGTTTCTAGTTCACATGTCATGGATCTGTGGCTGTGAGACATCTAAAAGCAGGTGTCAAGAGAAAAACTCAGGCATTTGAATCACACACAAACCCTTATGGTCTATCTACCTAATATTATTTTCAGTGTCTCCTGATGACTGACTATTCCAGGCATTTATCATCTTTCTTTCCCCCCACATCACATGCACACATCTGAACTCTGGTCATGCTTAATAACTCAAGGGTAAGTCCACCCTCCCCAGAAGGTCACTTTAAGAACTGCTAGCTTCCTTAACCATTTCACCTCCTCGGATTCTTATACAAATTCAGATCTAAAGCTCTCCCAAAGTTTCAATATAGGTCTTTATCATTTAGAGACCCAAGTGAAGGTCCTATATTCCCTTCTAAATAGAGACATTGCTCTTAGAATCTGTCATTCCACAAATGTATAAAAAGGGGGGAGTAGAAATGAACACCTAGCCCTAGAACAGGAAGCACAGAATGAGAAACACCAAGAGAGGAGGCTGAAGGTTGCAAACAGGTTTATACGTGAGCCCTGGCTTGTTCAGGATCATTTCCAGCTGCCTGCGGTTGAAGTTAGACACCCCAATGGACTTAGCCAACCCTGCATCCTTACATTTCTCCATGGCCTGTAAAAGTGAAGAATGATTGAAGGATTTTTACAAATGAGAACTGTTGTTAATACGAACATTGTTGAATGTTGACAAGATAACTAACATTGAACATCCTGAAGAGAAAACTAGTAAAAAGAAATGGGAGAGGGAGAAACAAGATGGGCAGTGTAAGAAAAGATATTAATATGGCGGTACCCAGCATCAATAGCTAACTTGGTGGCCTCTAGACCCTCTCTTTTAGGAACCTAAGACAGAAGCAAAAAATAGTATGTGGAGATCCAGGCATGAGACGTACCTCACTCAGACAGTGGCGAGGACTTCTCTAAGAATCAGTTTTTCTCAAACTTTGAATTATTTCTAGAATGGGGGTCAGTAATCCACTTCAGTTTGTCTGGATCTTTTGTCCTTTTTTTTTTTTAAAGATTTATTTGTTTGTTTATTTATTTGAAAAGCAGAGTTACAGGCAGGCAGAGGCAGTGACAAAGATCTTCCATCCACTAGTTCACTCCCCAGTGACTTCAATGGCCCAGAGCTGCAGGGCCCAGAGCTGCACTGATTCGAAGCCAGGAGCCAGGAGATTCTCCTGGGTCTCCCACGCTGGTGCAGGGGCTCAAGGACTTGGGCCATCTTCCACTGCTTTCCCAGGCCATAGCAGAGAGCTGGATTCGAAGTGAAGCTTGAACTGGCACACATATGGGATGTTGGCACTGCAGGTGTTGGCTCTATCCAACATGCCACAGCACCCGCTCATGTTTTGTCCTTAATAGAAAGAGCTGGTCAACCCAGGAAACTTATCAGATTCAGGCAATACCTGATTGATAACTTATATCTCAGGTTTCCAGATTTGCTGGAAGAACTCAGAGAATATTCATGTAGTTACCATTTACATGGTGAGATTACAAAGTAAAATTAGCACAGCAAAAATGCATATGGAAGGAAGTACAGAAGAACAATGGTACAAGCTTCGATGAGCTCCCTTGCAGTGTAGTCATACAAAATACCCCACATTCCTCCACCAGGAAATTATGACAACACATAAGGAATGCTGTTTAAATTAAGTCTTGAGATTTAACTTAATTATTCACTGGGGGCAGGTTATATAGGCCTTCTGAACCAACCAAAATACCACTCTCCCACAGGAAAGCACAGCAACCAAAATACCACTCTCCCACGGGAAAGCAATTACACTTAAAACTCATTTCTCAAAGGAGTTCTGGTGCAACAACAACATTATCAGTTAAGGAATGGGGTAAACTATGTTCACCAATCCTAAACAGGAACCGCTATGATAATAATCAATTCAAGAGACAACAGTCATTTATGTTAAATATTTTCTACACAGACTCTCGGTTTGCATGAAAAAACTAAACATTAAGCATATAAATATGCATAATCCTATCGTATACATTTATGTGTAAGAACTTAGCCTTATCACACAAGAGTTATTTAATCTAGGTGTCAGTCTTCAAATAAAAGGCACTTGTTTTAGAGTAGCTATAATTAGGGCAAAATCAAAAATTTTGGTTACATCTACAAAATTTCAATAAAGATTTGACAGTGTATTGGTAACAGATCAGAAAGGAAATCAAGCTTCACACCATTTGCTGTAAGAATTTGAGAAATTAATTACTTTAAATGAAATCCTAATGAACTAGATACTGGATGCTACTGTTCTCTCCTGACACCAATCTGATGTTGACCTGGGGTTAGGTTAAAAAAATGAACTAAGGCTAACGGTCTACTGATGTTCTTCATTATCTATGCCCTTCATGACACATTGCCCTGAAAATAACCAAGTCTTGTCACATGTCTCCAAAATTGCCACTTTAAGATTTCCTTTTATCAAAGACATGAGAAATGGGGACTTCAATTCTGAAGTAATTGGTCCTTTGTTACACAATTTCAGGACCTACGGATAATATTAGTCCTAAAAAATCCTCCTCACTCTAATAAATTATCCACTATACTGACTTTCATTTCAGAGAGCCCCAGATACCAATTTCCTTAAATACAGCATACATTAATGAAGACCAGTAATTTAAACATACTCTTATTATGTTCCAATTATCCTCTAACATGTTATCTTTTCCTTTCTGGTATTTTCCCAGATGACACAGTACTACATGAGAAAATCTGCTTAACCCGTGTCCACTATTTGCAGCGTGATTCTCAGGGTTACCCCAGAGCAGCTGAGCAGGACTCTATTAATATTCATGCCCTCTATCCCAGAAGTTTATCCACAGAAATGTCCATCTATCTTGTCTACTTGGAAGGAGAAAAAAATTCTTCAGCCATGAAATGGAAAAGAAACCACTCCCATGGCTGTCAACCTTTAAAAAGACAGCTTCTTGACTTGACTTTCATCTTTTCTGCCAAACTGGGAAAGATTAAAAAGTGGGGCATCCAGCACTGGTGAGAAAAATCAACAGGTGATCAAGAGGTCAGAACCTGATGAAGAACTAAGTCTAAGAACCCTCTGTCTTGTGCTCCAGGCTGGTGAAACTTAGAACGTAACCATACCCCACCCCTGCTCCGAGACATTGGAAAACCAGTCTTTAAATAAAGAACTAAGTAACTCCAAAACTGAGGTTGGTTTCCACTAATATACATTCTATTTCATTTTTACATTCAATCCTAAGAACACTATGCTTACTTACCTCTATAGGTGCAGCAGTGCCAAATCCCAGTACAGGTATGATGTTACCATCATTTAATTCCATCACATAATCTCCTCTCGGTAACTGCACAGTTCCTTCTGTCTTCTCAGTGTAGCCAGTCACGTGTCTTCACTTCTTAGGCCTTCAGAAGATGGTACCAGTATGTGAATGACCTAATACTTGTGCAATCATTAACCAATGACATGTGGACAGAATGGAGCTAAAGCAAATTCAAACACTGTGGACAGTATTTCAACCAGTTAGTTATTTTTTTTATAGAAGAAGCTTTATTCTTAAATGAACTACATGGAAATAAGGAAAACACACATTTTCAATGAAATTTCTGTTTATAATATCATACCTAGTACTGAAAATTATTATTAGTTTAAATAATTGCAGGCTAATACAAAAAATTCTGGATATGTGTTCTCCTTTTTTAAAAAAAGATTTAATTTGTTTATTTGAGAGGCAGAGTTACAAATGAATGAAGGGAGAGGAAGAGAGAGGTCTTCCATCATCTGGTTCACTCCCCAAATGGCCTCAATGACCAGAGCTGGCAATCTAAAGCCAGGAGCCAGGTGCTTCTTCAGGGTCTGCCATGTGGTTGCAGGAGCCCAAGTCCTCGGGTCATCTGCTTTCCTAGGTCATAAGCAGGAAGCTGGATCAGAAGAGGAGCAGAAGGGACACAAGCTGGCATTCATATGTGATGCTTGCGCTGCCAAGTGGAGCCTTGGCCTACTATACCACAGTGCCAGCCCCTCTCCTTTTGTTTTGATTCTCTTAATGTTTCCATAAATATCATATTACTTAAAACATTCAATTGGATATCTAACACCGCGTACACACACACACACATGCACAGAAACACACATAAACACAATTAGAATTAGGAAAATGACTAAAGAGATCATTTTCAAATTTGCATCCTCAACTTTAAAATTTCCTGTGTTTTGTAGTCTTGTAGAATTATGTTTATTGTTGTTGAGTATTACAAAGATGCTTCCTTATAAACAGAGAAAAGCTCTCCCTTGACAGTCTGCATAAAATGGAATTTTCAAGCACGCACTCAAACCCTAAACCCTGTTTCAGTAGTAGGCTTTTGACTCAGCAGCTAAGACATCTCCTGGGGTGCCCACATCTCATATTGAGGACCTGATTCTAGTCCAGGCGCATGCATTTCTAACCCAGCTTCCTGCTTATGTGAACCGTAAGGGACAGCAGATCATGGCTCAAATACTTGGATCCCAGACACCTATGTGGAAGACCCAGATTGACTTCTAAACTGCTGGGTCATCCTGATAACCCTCTGTTGCAAGGATTTAAGATATGAAATAGCACATAGAAGATATATCTCTCTCTAGATCTCTGTGTATATGTCACATTTTTTCTGTGTTCCTTTTAATAAAATCAAAACAAATTAAATAAATATTAAAAATGTCTTCAAAGCGAAATTCCTCACTTAGAATTTCTCATCATTCAGTTTAGAGAATGATAATATAATCTATAATATGCATAATTTTCCCAGTCTTTCCTGCATTTCAATGTGCTGTTGCCTAATTATGATACTTTTATGTCATTGGTGGGATTCTAATAATTTTCATGATTTCAACTTTTAACTAGGTGTCTTGCACAGATTGGGTAATGGAACGCTAATTTTTTGTACTTGAATATGACAGCCTTAACTGCTCCTGTTAGTCACAAATCTCGGATGTGCTGTCTTGTTGTATGTGAGCTTTTTACAGATTTTTAAAAACATGAGCATTGGGGTCGGCCCTGTGGTGCAGTGCATTAACGCCCTGGCCTGAAGCTCTGGCATCCCATATGGGTGCTGGTTCAAGACCTGGCTGCACCACTTCTGATCCAGCTCTATGTTATGGCCTAGGAAAGCAGTAGAAGATGGCCCAAGTCCTTGGCCCCTGCACCCATGTGGGAGATCCAGAAGAAGCTCCTGGCTCCTGACTTCTGTTGCAGCCAGCTGGGGAGTGAACCATAGGATGGAAGACCTCTCTCTCTCTCTTCTCTGCCTCTCCTCTTTCTGTGTAATGCTGACTTTCAAATAAATGAATAAATCTTAAAAGAAAATATGAGCATCATCTTCCCTTGAAGAGTGGAGAGTCTACTGGATAACCAGTCTGGAGCTTTCTCCATGAACTGCTCATTAGATATCTTTTTTTCTCCCATGGGGTGGTGGTTCCCATTAATTATTATGGCCTTAAAGTGCTTAAATGCAATATTACATGGAACTTTCCCATTTAAATTTGATCTAATGCTTTAAATAGAATTGAAAAACTGTGTAAGTCAATCAACATATTAGCTAAGTTTTCCAACACATGGTACAATGGGATTAAGATAGCACAATATTATATATTTCCACCTTGCCTTTGGAGATTTGATGTGATTTTTTTTCAAATTCACATATCTGAAACCCTTCATACTTGGTTTGCTAATCAATGAATGTTAAAAAATAGAATATGTCCTACTCTAAAGAAACAGGGTACAGAGCTGAAAGCATTAATTGGTGCCACCTTTGATTCTTGGCTGGACCTCTGTTTCCTCATCTTTCAAAATTGGGAGGAACAAAGTGATTTCCAGTGTTTCCCATTTATCAACTCTTACGGTTTCCTTCCTTCTTATTCACCATAATCATTATTGGACATTAACCTTTTAGTTTCACATTCTTGAGTTGGTAAAAATCATATATTTTATCATCGGGACTCGAAGATGTTTGTATCATCTGATCCTGAGGTGCCTTGGGTACTTTATTGATCATGATGGGGTCTCAAGTTTCCCACCGCTTATTAAAAGCATTTTAATTGCTTTGGTTCTTTGTTATTGCGGTTTTTGTAAAATCCTTCTGGCCACTTTAACTAAAACCCAAAGATTTGTTTTCTTTACAAGCAGGTTGAACAGAAATTGCCTTATTTTCAGAAGCATGTCTTCATTAAAAACTTAGGTTTCAAGAGAAACTCAAACTACCCACTGACATGATTATTTCAAACTAGCGAACCTAGGAAATAAAATACTTCAAAAATACTTTATTGAATTGAATTTTGCTAGGGAACACAAACACATTGCATCAAATAAGGTCATTCATGAATGAACCAAAAATGTGCTTAATCTGTGTTGCATTAGAACTTTATAGTTTTTAAAAATTTTTCTGGGATCTCTGAATTCTTATAGAATTAATTGCTCCCTTATACCCTTATTCTATTTCTACAGCTTCATTGTAGGTTAGTGCATATTGAATTATCATGTTTCCAATAAGCACAGGTTGAATTAATTCTTTTTGTTAATAATCATCTTAGTTAATTTACTGCAAATTGCTTTGAAAAGTATTACTTTTCAATATCAAATTAAATACTGTTTTTGGTTGTTACTTTTAAGTAATTGTTACTTTAATATGTCCCTTCTTAACACGTGGTTACAAATAAAATAATATGCATAGTTCAAAAATGCATCAATCTTTTTTCCTATTTCCCCATCCACAATGAATCTACCAATTTGTTCCTATGAGACAGATATTTAAATCTTTATATATCTTGGCTTAACCTGGTTTGTGTTTCCAGGGCATTATATCCTTCTCTCAACTTTCATGAGCTTATGATTTTTGGTTACACTTTGGATTAAATCCTTGTATTATGGTCTTCTACGTGGTCTACCTTCATATAGTATAATATGTCTAAATATCTATTGAAATGGCATGCACACAGATTAGAAGTCTCTTGCTACACACATGCCTCACAGTTCAGTGTTTACCACAACAACCTTTATTATTGAACTCTGCTTTCCTACTGTCCTCTTTATTATTTAACTCAAGTTTTCTATAGATACAATAAAAGAAAAGACCTGGAATGATTCTCCAGATAGAATGATCTTTAGTTCCAAGTGACAGCAACTGCAGAGCCATGATCACTCTATGCACTTTCTGTTGCTATTACTCTCCTTCTATATTTCATAAATACTAACCCTGTTATCTTTACAATGGTGCATTCATAGAGAAGATGCAAAGCCTTACAGAAATACATTTTTTCCTATTTTGATATTATTACAGTATCAGGGTTTGAGGTGCATTGGTCGTGTGATCTCATTGTAAACTGTTAATCAGCTGTTTACCCTGGAACAAAGAAGGCCTGGAACTGTGAACAATTCAACTGGCTCCAACATCACTTTCCTACAGTGACTCTAGCCATAAACATACTATCACAGTCATCCAGAGTGTCACACTGGACTCTGGACTCCCAGTGGCACATTTACAGGGATAAAGTTTTCAATCAAAAACAAATAGCAATAGGAGACAGGAAAACATTCTCAGGAGACTTAGCAACAAGAGATTCCAGATGTGCAAAACTGAAACACAGGAATATGAACAAAGAAGGCAATATGACTCTCAAAAAGAATACAATGATACATTAATACTGCACCATGAATATGGGAGATTGGCAATGCGTCTAATAAGGAATTCAAAACAGTGATTGTAAGGTACTCAGTAACAGTTAAAAGAAATAAGGTAATCCAAA